CTTATTTCTGGGATACCCTGTTTATAACAATACACGTGATGCGTATACGCAAAGTTGCGAACGATGTCAAGAATAGGTACCCAGATTGGCGCTGGCTACCAGAAAGCGGCAAACCTGCTTGCACTGTGTTCGCACACTTAGACTAATACGTCGGCGATTTACGATGCGCTCAAAGTATTGTTACTTTCTTCGCAATTTTGGATTAATTTGATCTGCGTCTGTAATGGGTATTCTTAATTTTTTATGAACAATCAGTAATTCTCTCAAAAAGTATTGGTTTTCATTGTTTTCCAGTGATTAGCACATTTCGAGTAGATTGCTAATTCAAAAACATGGATTTTAAGACATTACCAGCTGTACCTGATAAATAAATAGTTTCCAATAAACTGAGGTTGCAGATTACTGATAAAAACAGATTTTTGAGATTGTAGTTGCTGCTTTTTGCAGAAAAATTAAATAATAACAGTAATGTTATTATTTAATTTTTCTTTAATTAATCCTCGAATTAATCATTAATATAAAATAAACAGTAATAGCACAGCTTTTGTTTATACTGCGCAAAAGTCTTATGCGCTTTCATGTGAAAGCTAGATATACCATACGATCGAAAAAAATGGCGTCAGACCTGGCATGGAAATAAAGATAGCTGTCATTTTGTATGTAAAATGGTATAAGGAATGTCAATGATCGTCGTTTGAAAACCAACTAGACACTGTTTTTTTTCGATCATACGGTACTTGCGATAAGTCTTAAAACTTAACTTACCCTTTCCTTACTTGCCCCAATCATTCTGTTATCGGCATGAAAGCTTAAAACTGGTTAGCGAGTAAATTTTAGTTTATTATAGAATGGATAACTGCCTGGTAAATGTTAGAAGAGAAATTTTTGAAAGAGTTTCAAAAACATTTTCAGATTGGGTCTGAGACTACGTCTAATAAGCATTTAGGAGATTTTATCACTGCCATTTTGATGGCAAACAAAAGAAAAATAGGAAAGCGAGCCGCAAAAGAACTTCGCGAAATATAGACTGTCTAATATTATTAGATTAAGAAGCTTAACTAATTATTAGATTCTAACTATCAAACAATTTCTCCCAGACACAAAATTAAAAAAAATATGGAATTAGGAGGTAATAAATCCAAAAAATAAAAATATGTCTTAATTTTTTTCTATTTATATATTTTTTTTTACTAATATGTTTTTATTAGACTTAAGTTGTTTAGTAATTTCTATAAACAGAGTAATCCACCATCATTTCGCCATTAGTATTTATCTAACAGAAAGTAGTTTTTTAAGTTTTTTAAATTTGAGTTAGAATTTTATACTAAAAATGAAATGAATTGAAAATTGATTCATAAAATTTTTGAAAATCATATTGCTTATTTTAAATGGAATACACCGTAAAGTTTAATTTTAGTATTAAAGATAATTTTTGTCCAAGTTCGTTTTGTATAATTTTCTAGCAGTTCTCGATTTACCATAACCAATACTGTAATGCAATATGCAGACAACAGTATTTCGTTTTCGTAAATCACCGACGCATAAGGGTTGGGACTAGTCTAATACGTCGGTACTTTAGCAAACGTCCGTCGCTGTACCCGACCTAATCCGAGCGGCTAATGTGTCGGCGAATTACGAATATGCAGCCAGGCTGCCGTCAATTACGCAAACCAGTTCGGGCGACTTTTAGTTTTAGTGTTTCATTAATCTATTCACCCTCTGCATCAATATTGGACACGGCTGTGAAAGAAAACATTTTGTTTATACATGCATTTAGTGGGTGCGACACCACTTCAGCAATTTACAGGCAGGGTAAAATAAAGTTCCTTAAGGTTCTAAGAAATCAGACAAGTTTGAAAACTGCCATTTACTCTTTTAGAGACCCAAATGCAACTTCAGAAAGCATAGCCAAAGTTGGAATTCAATTTTTTCTTGCACTTTGATACATCACTATAGTGTGACCAACGGATCTGTAGCTACGGGGTATCGGCAGGGGAATGCAGTTGTAAACAAAACACGCCCAATTTCATTCATAAAATAGGCATGGGCGTACGGTGTTATATGAAAATAATGTGTATCATAAATATAATACTCAGATTAATATTTTTTTTCAAAAAACTTTATGCTGTTTGAATCGTTACTGTTGAGTTAGCAGATAAACACTAAAAGCTTTTATTAAAGCTCCCTTAAATATTTTGAATCATTTTATTATTGTGTTGTTAATATAATAGAAGAAATAATTACAGCTGGGGGGTTGGAACCTTTGGTGTTACACAGCAAAATAAAACACTAAATCAGTACAATACACCAAAACACTTTTAATTTTACACTGGACGCATGTTTCGCTAGCCATGTCTGCCATCAGCAGATGATCAAGACTGAGTCTTGAGGTATATTTATTTATATATCTGTACTAACTATATTTTACATACTATAATACATAATTTTAGATATAACTATTTCCAGCAAAAAAATCTTGAAAATAGTTAACTTTGGAAGCGCAAACAAAACATAATTTTACTCACCAGTAGATCCAATATTGCCTATTACACCAGATATGGTATCGCTCCGCCAGCAGTTTTTAAAGGTTAGGTCATTGTCTACCCATATGTTTCATCCAAATAGATAATACTTGGCTATATTTTCGAATTTCGCGTATATATTTATATCTCTCTCTGCAATATAATGGGCCGCTCCATTAATATTTATCTGTTATTTTGACATTTACGCCAAAAAAATCATTTGATTTTAATAACCCCTAAGCGTTCCCTGCAAAAGGAAAATTCGATTCTTCCTGCAATTTTTGCAAAGCTTTCTAATTCCTGACCACTTCGAAAAAGTCGTCGAGTTTTCGACAGCAGTCTCGTGGTCGTTTCTTTCCAGAGCTGGATATCATTTTATCGGGGTTAGTTTTCAGCCTTTTTTTTTATCTTCTGTGTGAATCTTTTTATAGCCGATACGCTAACTCCGGTATAAAAAAATATCCGCTCAAGTTTACGTTTAAGCGGCAACTAAAGCTAACTCTCTGTAGCTTCTTCATCGCAAACCCTATTATGAACACAAGGAAATAAACCAAATGATTTCATCCACGTTATTATTAACATACCTATATAAATTAGCTATTATTTCTCTTGTCTGACTATGTAGCGTCTTACCCTTAACAAATTTATTCATTTTAAAACACAAATATACTATCAAACTTGATATTAATAATTAAAAACTACGAACGAAAAACATTATAACAATATAACAAAATAATAAAACACAACTTAACTATCAAATATACGAAAAATATAGGAATAAAGTTTAGGATAACCGGTATAAAATAATGAAATAAAGTAATAATGATCAAAAAATTACACCGCCACTGGATATTTCAATAGTATTCAATATTCCTACTCTTTTCAGAAGAGACCGTGAAGTTGGGGATAAAGCAAGCGAATAGGAAAGGCGTAAAAGCCATGGCAACCGCGTGGTAACAAATCCTGTGACGTACTCTGGCCAATGATGTTCAATGAATAGGCGGCCATGCGCGGCGATGCCGGTTTGCCAATGATATCGTTAAAAAATCTTCAACTTTCATAATAAGCAGATTATACAGAATGAAAGAAATAAGTTATTAAATAAAACATATCGAACAATATGAACTACGTTAAAATTCCTTAATAATATACGTCAGAATATATGCTAAACACATTATATATAATAAAAATATATTAAATTTATAGTTCATGTCTGGCAATTTTGCAATTTTATAGATAAACGTGGCAATATCGATTTTTTTTTCTCGCATTCCTTCCGTAGCTTCAGATCCGCTGGTCAAACAGTACACATCTATAGACATCGATTTTCTGCGCAATCTATAACAAAGAGTTTATTTAATCTTGCATCCCTTCCTCCAACCGAAGATGCGGCTCACATGCACTCACTTTGTACATACTTACAAGTCCAAAAATGGTACGGTAACGAAAAAATACCCATTGACTGGGGTTGGAAGCAGTCATCCAATGGACTTATACCGATTCCTATGCTGCAAGACGCCGCTCCCCAAGAGTTATTGAAGATGATTTCTTGTAAATGCATAAAAGGTTGCAACGCAGCCTGCAGCTGCAGAAAAGCAGAATTACACTGTTTGGTAGTGTGCGGTTCGTGCCAGGGAAGAGCTCGACGAAGAAATCGATTCTCGATTAGAAGAATTAATGACCAACGAAAATATCGAAGACATAGACATTGAAGAAGAACCGGATGAACAGTTTGATGAAGAATATATTGATGAGTCGATTGGTCAACCTTCTACGTCAAAAAAGCAGACGGTGAAAATACATAATACTTATAAAGCATATCATGTCATATGGATATAAAAATATAACATTTGCAACGGCAAGAAAGCGGATTAGGCCTATAGGGGAAATCACTTAAAAAAAGTGCGCCGAGTGCTCTGCCGTCAGGTGGTGTGGAAACGACCACAAGAAAAACACAAATTTGTACTGGCAAATTATTCAAATTTACATAGAATTAGTGTCTCATATTAAATAATCCACTAGAAAATATATGCTTTGTATTTAAGCGACTGTATCTCGTTAACCAGTTCATGAACGAAATCGGTGAATAGGACCTTTTTTGTAGAGAATTTAAATAGCTTTGGTCTCTTGCAAATTTTCTGTACAGCTAACTTTCTGAGCACCCAGACCGAGTTATTAAAAAAAAACATAAAAATGTCATAATTTGACAGGATTTTCCAATATGGCGGCCAAATCCGGGTTCGATAAACCGTGCAAATTTAGTAGAGTATTCAACAAAGCAAAACAAAGAGAATAAGTATTATTGCAGCTTGCCCCTAATTATTTCCACCTAAAACCACTTGTCGACTGGTCTATAGTTAGTGTTGCTATATATTTAGGGGATAAATAAGGAATCTCATAAAAAAACTCTATGATTATTTGTTTATTAAGTACATTAAGATAAATCTTACATTATTTCTGTATAATATACACATAAACATAAATATTTATATAAAACTACAAAATATTAAATAAATTAAAGTTGAATCAATTTTACTGTCTTTTATTTGCCACTTCAGTCTCTTCAATCATAAATAATACTGTACGAATATCATATAGTCCGATTTCACTATACTTTCATTTGCAAGTATGCGTATCCAGGGATATGACGCACGTCTTACACTCTACCTCACAACACCATTTAAATTTACATTGACATCTCTCTTTCACTATCGATTTGATCGTGTTGTAACCTCTGCCGCAGCACAGGATGTTACAACCGTCTATATCTGGACTTGTCCTATTACAAGGACGCCCTTGGGTGCCCAATGACCCCGTGATATCGTTTCGTTCGCAGTAATCGGGAGAGTCCTCCAAATAAACCAAGTCGTAGGCCGTGGGAATGGTAACTTGAGGATCTCGAAGTTGGAGGCGTCCTCTACGGTTGACACGAACTTCTGTAGCGCCGTCGTATTTGTCCCGAAGATAGTCCCCTGGAACAAAAATATATTAATGAATTTGGGTATGGATATTTCCTAATGATTAGTTGTAATATAATCAATCATACCAAAGAATGTCATTATACAGGGTGTATCAAAAAACATGTACCATCTCTCGTGAGGAGATTCCTCTCATAAAAATAAGATTTATTTTTCATATTAACATAGGTCCAGTTTTGCTTTGTTTCAGGAGGTTAAAGTCTTCTACAGGAACAAAGGTTCTACAGGAGGTTAAAGTCTTCATCTTTTTTCGATTTACTATAATTTCTCTTTACTATAAGTGCTTTTAGCGATTCAAATCAAATTTTGAAGGTAAACGGTACTATAAGTGTGATATATATTTTAATTCTTAAAAAGGGGAAAACAAAATGTTGATATTTTGGTGAAAGTTTGAAACACCCTGTGGAATATATTAATAAAGCAAGAATTTTAAAAATCATTTTATCATCCAGGTACGTATTTTCTCGAGAGTTTGTTTTTTGATTCATCAGAACAGCTTTATTTTTATTGGAGATATTCGCTTTTAAATAAGACAGTAGCGATTTAGGATCCTCATCACCCTTTGTCACCACACTTATAAAATACTGTTTATTGTTTTTGTAATGTCACTATCATTGAAAAGTCATATTATTATTGTTTATTGACGGTTACTCTAGTAGAGATGGTTTTAAATTAATTTAACTTTTGGACTTAAAACTATATCTGCAAGAGTAACCGCCTAAAAGACAATAATAGATATAATATGATTTTTCAATGAGAGTGACATTACATAAATCATAAACACTATTTTAGAGGTTTGTCGTCTAGGACAAAAAGGGCAAGGGCATTGTTTTAATGTAAAAATATGAAAAAATGTTAGTGTCTTCTTCAAAAGCAAATATCTCCAAAAAAAATAAGGCTATTGAGATGAATAAAAAAATAAACTATTGAGAAAAGATCCACCTGAGTGATTTTTTAAATTACTTGCTTTGTTAACGTACTCCACAGGGTGTTGTAGCCTTTCATCAAAATATCAGCATTTTGATTCCCCTCGTATAATTGACAGATGGCAACTTTCATTTTTAATTTAGAAAGAGATATTATTGTCAAGGTGTATTACTGGTCGCATAACTGCATTATTGCTACATAACCGCAACGTGCATTGAGGAAACGCACCCCGAATTCTTTAGAAAATTCCAGAAACCATCGCCAGGGGGTATATAAGGCCCGCGCTTTGACAGTTGGACCAGTCTGAAGATAGTCTGAAATCTGAAGTTTGATAATACCCCAAAATACCGTTAGAGTAATAGTAGTTGCATAAATTGTGTTGTAAGTAGTATAAGTTGTGTGTACAGAGTGAGACAAATAAATTCGTTAAGTATTTTATCGTGAGTTTAAATAGTGGACCCACGGAATCCGTAACAATTGATGTCGGAAGTGCGATTCAAGAGGATTTTAAGAAGAAATTAAGTGGATTGGAAGATTTTTAGACCGAATCAGAGTATTTTTATGGTTGGTACAAGGGAGCAAGCGAAGAAAATGGAGGAAGTAAGCAAATTATTGGGCGATTTTATGGAGAATATGAGAAGAGAGAAAGCAGAAGAAAAAGACGAAGAAAAATTACGCCGTCAAGAAGAACAGGATCAGCTTGAGAAAATTTTTGAAGATTTGAAAATTCAACGACAACAAGAAAAACAAGAAGAACAGGACCGCTTGAGAAAATTCTTGAAGATTTGAAAGCTCAACGACAGCATGACAAACAAGAGGAACAGGACCGGCTTGAGAAAATTTTCGAAGATTTCAAAGTTCAACGACAGCACGACAAACAAGAAGAACAGGACTTCAGAAAATTCTAGAAAATCAAGAAATTAGACAAGAACGGTTGGAGAAAATTGTTGAAGATTTAGAAGTACGTCGCCAGAAGGACATATTTGAAGATCAAGACCGCATGCAGAAAAGTCTCGAAAATTCGGAACGAAGACAGCAGAACCACCTTCAAGAAGCCGTAGAAGATCTGGAGGAGCGCCTTCAGCAGAAAATGGAAAAATTAGAGATGGACCTACAGAAGACCAAGGCACAAGTAAGAACACCTGGCGTTCAAGGAACTGCGAACCTTAAGGCCCCAACCTATGATGGACAAACCACCTGGACTATGTGCCACCGCCAGTTTGAAGCAGCCGCCGCTGCCAACGGATGGACTGACCAGGAGAAAGCAGCGGCACTTGTCATCGCGCTGCGTGACAGCCCTGCCCTGGAACTGCTGCAAACTATTCCTGCAGCCCAACAGCAGGAGTACGAAACATTGGTTGCTGCACTGGACCGAAGATATGGCGACCAACATCGACGCCAACTTTACCAGGCCCAGATCAAGACACGTCTGCAGAGGTCCGGAGAGAGTCTGCAGGAATTTGAAGCAGACTTACGTCGGCTGGTACACCTAGCATATCCAGAAGCACCGGAAGGGTTTAGGGAGGAACTCGCTGCTCAGTGCTTTATCAGCGGGCTGAAGGACATCGAATTGCAGAGGGCGCTGGAAATCGAAGCTGTTTTTAGCGCCATCCCTTGACCGAAGATAAGATCTGTAACGGTTGAGGAACAGCCAAAGAGTTCTCACATACGTTTGGAGGAGATGTTTAATAAACTATGTGAGTTACCTAGAGAGAACAAGAGAGTCAACAAGAGAGTGAGAACAAGAGAGTCAACAACACCCAGACAGAGAACCAGAGAAGATCCCAGGATATTAGGTGCTATAGATGTGGCAGGAATGGCCATATCCAACGGGATTGTCGCATCCCAATGACATTCCGTTCATCATTAAGAGAACATTTGCACATCGGAAGATCCCAGGACATAAGTTGCTATAGATGTGGCAGGAATGGCCACATCAAACGGGATTGCCGCGTTGAAATGCGATTCCGTTTACCCTTCAGAGAACATAGTCACCAGGAAATTAATATCAACGGGCGAGTATTGGCTGAAGAAAACAGAGACCCTAGGATGTTTTCCATTAGGAGTCTAGAAAAAACCGCTGACAGTTTGGTGATCAACGGGAAGGTCAATGGTAGAAGAATTCGAATGACTGTGGATACAGGCGCTATGGTATCGTTGGTGCGGACTAACTCAGTGCAAGGATTGAAGATGATGCCTCTTAGAAAAAGAGTGTATTTACGTACAGTTACGGGGGAAATGGCCGTTGTACGGGGGGAGGCTTTCATGGAACTGGAGTTAGGGATTTGAAGTTTCGGCATAGCGTTTTAATGGCAGACATTGAAGATGATTTTATCATGGGTATGGATGTGATCAGTCAACATGGTTTTTCGTTCGATCACCATAGAAACATCCTGAAAATCGGAAATGAGGAATTTTCTCTATCTAAAGAGAAGAGACCAGGAAATATGGAAGCAAGACCAGCGGAAATTGTGATGATACCTGGTGATGCCAAGAAGACTGTGTTCGGGAAAATGGAGAAAACCTCTGAGTGCCGTGTAGGACGGGTACAAATTATCGACAACGAACCAGACCGACGACGAGCTACCTTGGGCAAGAAAATGAAACATCGTGAAAGCACTATCAGAGTAAGGAATTTTAAACTGAGAACTGACGAACCATGGACGACGACACAATTGAGGAAAGACCAAATGGAAGATCCAGACATCGGAGCAATACTACGGCTCAAGGAAGGTAACGGCGAGAGACCACCGTGGCAGGATATAGCAGACAGAGGGCTCGTTTTTAAAGCTCTCTGGGCTCAGTGGAATTCACTGGTGATTGAGAATGGATTGTTAAAGCGCACGTGGGAAAGGGCGGATGGCAGGACAGTAACAACTCAGTTACTGGTACCAAGGAAGAAAGTCACCCAGGTATTGGAAGAAATTCATGGTGGTAAAACTGGAGCCCACCTTGGGGTAAACAAGACCTTGAGCAAGCTGAGAGACCGTTTTTACTGGGTGGATTATTGTGAAGATGTTAAGAAATGGTGTCAACGTTGTGAGATTTGCGCAGCTAGACAAGGACCAAGTACTCGATCTGGAGGAAAAATGGAACAAGATAACGTTGGACTGTCGTTCGAAAGAATCGTTAGGAAGGGAAGATTACTGGACGTTCATAAGCACGTTAGAAGTAAGATTGCGCTAGCCAGTGACCGGATGAAAGCTCGTTGCGACCTCAGAGCTAATTCTACGGGATTTCAACAGGATGATAGGGTATACCCACAGCGCAAGAAAGGAAGGTCCCCAAAGTTAACTCCAGCATGGGAAGGTCCTTATACAGTCATCAAGAGGATAAATGATGTTGTGTACCGGATTCAGCGCAGCCCTAGAAGTAAGATGAAAGTAGTTCATCTGGATCGATTGAAGAGATACCAGACAGGAAACATTGATTGGGACGATCAAATTTGAGAAGGGGGCAATGTCAAGGTGTATTACTGGTTGCATAACTGCATTATTGCTACATAACCGCAACGTGCATTGAGGAACCTGGCGAATTCGCCAGAAAGTAAAAGAGAATTACAGAATTCTTTAGAAATTTCCAGAAACCATCGCCAGGGGGTATATAAGGCCCACGCTTTGACAGTTGGACCAGTCTGAAGATCTGAAGTTTGATAATACCGCGAAATACCGTTAGAGTAATAGTAGTTGCATAAATTGTGTTGTAAATAGTATAAGTTGTGTGTACAGAGTGAGACAAATAAATTCGTTAAGTATTTTATCGTGAGTTTAAATAGTGGACCCACGGAATCCGTAACATTATTATAAAGTCAAATAATTCAGCTATAAATTGCTTAAAGTATTATCAAAATCGGCCCAATATAACAAAATATATTAAACTTTAAAATATATCAAAATTTTAAGGTGCCCGCTTTTCGTATATTACAAAAAAAACTTAAAATACACAGGATGTGCCATTAAAAAAGTTGTAAATTTTTCTTAACGTTCTGATCGTGTCTTTTGTTTATTAACTTGTATTTCATTTTCTGGCGATTTAAGTAAAACCTCAAAAGACCTACACTTAAACTT